ATAGAAATTTTTTTCTTTTAGACACTCTGTACCATATGATTTAGTTTTTTTGTTGTTTTTATGATTCTAAAAAAAAGTAAATTAAATGATAATTTTGGAACTGGACATCCCAAAATAATAGTCCAATCGGTTAAAAAAATAAAAATAAAAATAAAATGGGTTTTAAAGATAAAATCGTAATTTTTGTCATTGAGACCTATTCCATATATCTCTTTATTAAAAGATTGAATCATGTAAATGACTATATTGGATATTCTTTTAAAGATTTTATTATAAATGATCAAAAAAATATAACATAAATGTATTACGACGACATAACCTATAAATCAACATAAATAACATTTTTAACAATCTTATGGAAAAACACTTTTCTTTGATTCACGAATCGTACAGAACTACTTTTTAGGATCAGAGTTAGTTTCCATTCAGAGTTAAATCTTTTTAAATGACTTAGATATTGAGATCCTACTCGTAATTTTGTGTAAGAAGATTTCGGCAGTTCTGGAGTTACAATGCTTTTCGGAGACCAATTAAAAATCCTCAAAGAGATGTGAGCATCCTGCTTAATATTTTGCCTTTCCTGTTTAACAAGTTAAAAAAATAAAAGAATGGCACCTTTCCGATTCTAAAATTGAGTTTAAATCTTCTGTTATTGTCAGCTATTTTGATGCAGATAAATTTGCTTTAAAAATATTTACTAGAAACGCAGTTACTAGTAAATTGATTGATATTTCTGTATATGTCTAAGGAAGTGCAATATAGGGAGATGATTGTATGGGGAGCCAGAGGATTGTATAATCCGCAAAAAAACGATTGATTGGAATTTAATTTATGTTGTTTTTAACAATCATGTTCTGCAGAGCTGATTAGAATTCTGAAATGTTTCAATTTATGATGAGAATCCTTGACGACGTGACAATCTCTGGCCCCACTCATCTTTAAACATCCCCCAGATGTCTGGCATAAACAACCCAGTTTGACGCTTTCCGTTGGATGATCCACTGTCTTCAGCAGCGTTGTACGCAGGAGCAAGAGGACTTCCATAGGACTCTTCTGCTTCAGAGACATCTTCCTCTGTCTCCTCAAAGTTGTAAGCAGGAGCTATTGGATTTCCGTAAGAATCAGGTGCTTCCTCTTCTGCTTCATCATATTCAAAGTTACTGTAAGTGTCCTGTGGTTCAGAGTAGCTTGGTTCAGGGGCAGATGTTGAATAGCTTGATTGAGAACCTGGTTGTGAATAGGTAGGTTGGGAAGCAGGAAGGGGATAGCTTGATGTCTGAGGAGGGGAAGTTGTGGTGGTTGTTGTAGGATCAGGAGCAGGGTATTTAGGTTCAGGTGAAGAGTAAGGTTTTGGCGCAGAATAGCTTGGTCTTGGTTTGGGTGGTGAATAGCTTGGTTTTGGTTTGGGTGGTGAATAGCTTGGTCTTGGTTTGGGTGCAGAGTAACTGGGTTTAGGAGCAGCATAGCTGGGTTTGGGAGGTGAGTAACTTGGTTTTGTTGTTACTGGAGGATTATAGCTTGGTTCTTCTGCGGGAGGATCATAGCTAGGTTCTTCTGCGGGAGGATTGGAGCTAGGTTCTTCTGTGGGAGGACTATAGCTAGGTTCTTGAGCTGGAGGATTGTAGCTTGGTTCTTGAGCTGGAGGATTGTAGCTAGGTTGTTGAGCTGGAGGATTGTAGCTAGGTTGAGGGGATTGTTTAGGGGTGTTATAACTAGGTTGTTGTGCTGCAGCTGGTTGACTGTATCTGGAGCCTGTATCTAAAAATATGATGATTTGAAAATATTGTTTTTATTTATTTGCAAGAAGTAAATTAAACCATAAGGTGATAATGGACATTACTCAGAGTAATGTAACAAATGCCTCATCAACACTTGCACTTGCACTATCATGCACAATCATCATGTACTATATTCCTTATTGGATAATAACAGATGTTTAGCTTACCTTTAAAACTCTCAAATGCATTTGCATCAAAAGTAGGTTCCAAGGATGGGAAGGATGGTTTAAAAAAATCTGGAAATTCTCCAAAAGCAGCAGGAATCATAAAAACATCTGTAGGACCTTTAAAGGGTGTGATGGTAGGTGTATCAGGTATATAAGCAGAGGGTTCAATTGAATCTTGAGAGTATGAAGGGAGCTCTGCTGGAGATGCATATGTCTCCTCTGCAGGTTCAGAATACTCAGAGGCTGGTGCCTGTGGAGATCCATATTCATCTGCTGCTTCCTCTGCTGGTTTAGTATATTCAGAGGCTGGTGCTTGAGGTGATCCATATTCATCTGCTGCTTCCTCTGCTGGTTCAGAATATTCAGAGGCTGGTGCTTGTGGAGATCCATATTCATCAGCTGCTTCCTCTGCTGCTGGCTGATAACTGGATTCTGCTGGTTTTGGGGAAGGCTTTGCTACAGGTTTGTATGATGTTACAGGAGGACCAAAAGATGGTTTATACTGAGGTTTCGGCCTTGCATGATAGGAGGGTCTTGGTTTGTATACTGGTCTAGGCTTGTAAGAGGGTTTGGGATGGTAAGAAGGTCGAGGTTTGTAAGATGGTTTGTATTGTGGTTTGGGATGATAAGAAGGTTTGGGCTTTTGATATGTGGGCTTTTGTTGGTAGGAGGGACGTGGCTTGGGACTTTCTTTTGCGGGTTCAGGAGCTGAATATGATGCTTCTGCCTCTTGTGGCTTAGTATATGAGTCCTCAGCCTCTTGTGGTTCAACATAACTGCTTGTGGGTGGAGCTTCTGGCGAACCATATTCCTCTGCTGCAGCTTCAGCTTCCTGAGGCTGAGAGTATGACTGTTCAGCCTCTACTGGTTTAGAATATGAATCTTCAACCTCTTGAGGCTCAACATAGCTGCTTGAGGGGGGAGCTTCTGGGGAACCATATTCTTCAGCTGCAGATTCAGCAACACCATCAAGAGGAGGAGCTTGAGGAGCACCATAGGGATCTATTTCCTTCTCAGGAGCTGGATTGGAATTATGCTTTGGCGGAGATTTAGGAGGAGCTCCATAAGACGGTTTAGGTTGATGGTATGATGGCCTTGGAGGTCCATAAGATGGTTTTGGAGGGCCATACGATGGTCTTGGTGGACCATAGGAGGGCTTTGGTTTGTGATAGGTTGGTTTTGGCGGTCTGTAAGATGGTTTTGGTGGACCATATGATGGCTTAGGTGGACCATAGGATGGTTTTGGAGGACCATAAGATGGCTTAGGGGGACCATATCCAGGGCTTGGGGGTGATTGATGTCCATGTGATTGTGCTCCATCTCTTCTACCTCCTTGAAAAGGACTAAATATATTATTCTTATTACGTTTACGACCTTTTATTATTGGCCTCTTCTTTTTCTTTCTTGGCCCACCACGATCCTCTCCTTCATCAATCCTTTCAACATCATCATCATAATTATATATATCATCTTCATAAATATCTTCATCATAAACCTCATAATCAGGCTTCACAATGCCACCTAAAGCAAGGTTTTCATCCAATAGAAACTCCATATTTTCATCCATAATCCCAGCATTCATTAGTTCCATTAGCGCTGCACGCTCTTCCCTGGTGAATTCCTGGGATTGAATCCCTCCCGACCAAACCAGGAACAAGAATATCGGGAACATCTGAAAAAAACATGTTTAGGGATATTTTTGAAATTTTTCTTTTTTTTAAATATCCGATTTTGAATGTTTTTATAGTTTTTATTTCCCTGGGTCTTGTTGTTTAAAAATTCCATTAAATTAATCCTAGATAATCAAATCTCTATCTTGTGATAAACAATGACAGGGCACAGAAACTAGTAATATTGTCAACAAGTATATACAGTGATTGCTCTCCAGAGCCCATAAATTTAAGACAAGGTATCATCATGAAACCCGGTATCGGAGGCCGTGTTTCGTAAATGGGTTAGGTCAATTTTGTAGAATCAAATTTTAGTTCAAAATATTATTTCATATGATTAATTAGTCTTTTTTTTAAATTTTTACTTTAAAATCTACTCAAATGTATACACAAAAAGAAAATTTGGGAGTTTCATTCAACGATACTTCAACATCAGGTTGCTAAGATCTATGGATGGAAAATTTGGGGCATATCTTCTTCACTACCAGAAAATTTGATCCTTTGTTTAGAATCTATATCACTCTTTACAAAGATAAAGTGTAAAATCTAAAAAAAGAAATTGAGTCTTTGCCACAAACCCTGATTTTTAATCCTTATATCTTTGCAACCCAACTTTGTTGACCTTATATCTTTCAAACTAAGAATTCTGTTATGTCAAAAAATCAAAGTTTGAAATATTAAATATTTTCACAATCAGGCTGCAAAGATATAAGGGATTTGAAAATCACATGTTGGGGCAAAGAATCAATTCATTAAAAACCCTCTCTACCGATTTCTTGAACTATTCCAAACCAACATTATGGGGAAATTAATATGAGTTTTGGCTTCAAACTCATCAAATCTAATTCTAAATCTGACCTACAGGGTTGCCCTGAATGTTTTTTCTATGGCCTAAGTTTAAAGGAGAACGTTGTGAATTGTACTATATACTTAAATTAAAGTTTACTTGAGAATTATCTTTGTTGCCGGAGTATGAAAAATAGTTTTTACTTTTTAGAATAAAAATCTAATAAAAAAAGTTTGGTTTTATAACTTCTGTTTTGAAGACGAACTACGATATCTTAAAGAGGCTTAAATTGGGTATTATTAACAAAATTTGGTTTTTTATCTTTCTATACTTATTTATTGTGTTCCACCTTTTTCAATATAAAGATTGTAAGGATCACTTTGCTGAGCTATAGATCTGTATGTATTATAGTGTGTACGAACTCATTCCTAATATTTCATATATTGTTTAGCAATTAAGAAAAATGTATTCTTGTCTAATCAATTTATTATGGCTTATTATCCTTATTATCCTTATTATTCTTATTATCCTTATTATCCTTATTATCCTTATTATCCTTATCATCCTTATTATCCTTATTATCCTTATTATCCTTATTATCCTTATTATACTTATTATCCTTATCCTTAATGTCTTTATTATCCTTCCAGTTTTTTGCAATCCTTCAAGGGCAGTCTGTGCAGTTTGGTCGGAGCAATATTCACAGTTTCGGTTTTTAAAAAATTATTTCTATATTTCTTCATCATGATCATTTTTTCATTATCATATTTATAGATTTTTTTAATATTATTATTTTTATATATTATGATTACTATTGAAAATTACTATTATGAATCAACTGTACAAATTCCTGGAAATTAACGTTACATGGTTTGCATAATATGTTCATCTATCTTTCTTTCTATCTATTCAAGGTTATAATGCAAGGAAAGTTATTTCAGAGGTGCTTCTATTTATTTATCTAACTATCTATCTATTCAAGGTGTATCTATTTATCTATCTAACTATCTATCTATTTAAGGTGTATCTATTTATCTATCTAACTATCTATGAATATCAATTTTCCAATGACTGCATAACTGTACTCTGGGTGATATTATCGTATAGTTAGAGTAGATTGTTAAATATTTATGTGGAAATATGATTATAGGAAAAGTAACAACGTTTTTTATCTTTATGGGACCCTTGGCATCATTTCACGTATTTTGAAATAGGAAACGTCAATAAGGAACTAAATTGAATATGATATATTTATGTATTTTGCAATATCTCTTGCATTGCATTATTTATTCAGCAAGATTCAACTAATAAGCTGTTTTCATAAAAAAAAGACGGAAAATTTAACAACTGTTATTTAAGATGACCATTCCTTGAGAGATTCTCAACGGAACTACTAAAAGCTGACCAAGACTAAATTAGATATCCTTGTGTATGTCCTTAAACACTGTTTATTTCATTTGTGGTTTCTCAGCAAAAGTTTGTCCATGTCTTGTTTAAGAAGCACTGAAGAAATTATAAGAATAATAAAATCTTATTTTTAAAATAAAGCGGTTAAGTTGAGAAAATAATACCGCACAATAAAGGTTTAAATTGCAAGTTGCAATAAGAAACTAATGTAGAGCACTAATTGCAATAAGTGGAGTTAGATGACTGCAATTAGTGCAATTATGTGCATATGTTGGGTTTTTGTAGATTTCCTTTCAGATTAGTTGTAACCACAAGAAGAGCTGCAGAACAAATTCACTTGAAACTTACAACAACACCTCTAGTTTATCATTTTTTTTACCCCAAAGTTTTCACTTTCAAATGTCTATTGTACATGAGAGACAGCAATTGTGCAGTGTAAACAGACCTATTTGTTCTAATAAGTAATTTAATAACTTTCAAAAAGAATTATTTGCTTTGTATGAACATAAAAAACACTCTTAAGCACTTAAGCACTTAATAAAGTGTCAGATTATCTGAATTTTATGAGATCTGGGCATGCCAGCTAGGGTTGTAAATCGCTTTTAAAAACAATCGTTTTTTGTTTTGTTTTACTGTTTTTCTTAAAACAGTTTTTCTTCGTCGTTTTTGAAACGAAACGATCGTTTTATAAAAAAAAGTGAAAACCATCCATCATTTCAGCCTGAAAGGGAGTTCAAAGTGTACAAATCATGTAAATGTTCACAAATTATATGCAGTAGAGTACATTAATACAGTATGTTCCCTAGACTGTTTATTTCAATTTCGAATTTTTTAAAGCTGTTAAATAAACTTTATAATGAATTAGGTGAAAAAAAACACCATTTGATTTATAGTTATAAAGGAAAATCATCGTTTGTAAAGTGAAAGGCATGTGAAATGATCATTGTTCAATTATGAAACCAGCCTATTTCATAATTTGGTTTTCTTTTAACATTAATTTTAGATTTTCTATAAAATGATATTCCAGGGCCCAAATGGTTATATAGCATAAATATATGAAGTACACCTGCAGTACAACAAAATGGCCGTTTTACACTTTTTTTCTAGTAAATTCCCCCCTAATAAAGGTTTAATTATTAGTTAAATTCAATTCTTTTAAATTATTTATGCAAAATTGGCATTACACAGTTGAAATCTGTGAAAAAATTGCGTACACTGTTTAGTGTACATTCTTTCATGTCAAGTTCATAAAGAGCAGATGGCGGGGAATTCTGAGTTAACAAATTATCCTTCAGCTTAGACAAGTAGAGAATGCGTATAACACGATAAAAATGCGTAAAACATGAAATGATAAAAACTATTTGGTCTGCAACGTGACGCTTCAATTTTCTCAGGGACGGAAGCAATAATTATTTTGTATAAAAAGCACGTCTTTTTCTTAATTAATTGTTTTCTGGTCTAGGCCCACTGTGTGTAGGTTATATTTGTATGTTTTGCTGTTTCCGCATTTAACCACGATAATGCAGTTATTGGGAAAATATTAAATGCATTGTGCGGTAGAGGTGGGTTGGAAAATAGTTATGGTTGGGTTAAAGATAATTTTTTAATATTTTTATATTTTTTTAACATTATAAATATTTAACTTGTTGCTGAAGTGCCCGGCGTTGCCCGTAGAATTTTAGAAACACGTGGGAAAAAATGTTGAATTATAAAAAATTCGAACTTGTTTAGCTTATGCTTCTCCCCGGGCACCAATGGGTTCCTTCAAAAAATTTCAGTCAAATCGGTCCAGCCGTATAGCCAACTATACTAGCATATAAATACATGAGCGAAGATCTTAATTATTTGGATTAATCTATTAGATATTATAATTATGTGGATTAATCTATTAAAAATTATAATTATGTGGATTAATCTATTAAAAATTATGATTATGTGGATTACTCTATTAAAAATTATAATTATGTGGATTAATCTATTAAAAATTATAATCCAGTTTTTGTTTAACTTACATAATGCAAATTTTGATAATTGCGATCTATAAATCAAATAGACATCAAAGAACTAAAAAATAACCACAAGCTCTGATGTCTAAATAGTTTTATCTTTGCAACCCGATGGTGAAAGCTTAGACATTTGTTCTTGCAGATTTCATATTTAGAAATTTATATGGGTCTAATTTTATCCGATTGCAAAGATAGAAGGATTGTAGAGAAATTTTTCAGGATTCATTTGAGTACTTTTAAATTAGACGGTTTTATACTGTATATTTGTTCAGCATCAAGGACGAAAATTTAATCTTTAAAATTCGCCTGGATTGTCCATTCTGGAGGCTTTTTTTTGAAAATAAATTTTTTGAAAATTTTTTAATCACGATAAAATAAATAGATAGATAGATACTTAAATAGATAAAAAGCTAAATGGAAATAAATAAAAGAAAGATATAGATAGAAAAAAAGCTAGATAGATGGATAGATAAATAGATAGATAGATCGAGGACTGAGGTTTATTGATATTTTATGTTTACATGTAACATATTGGTTTTTGAGCTGTTCCAAAACGTCACAAAAAATAAAAAGAACCATTAGTTCTAATCTTACAGGGAAACCCTTAATAACGAATACATCGAAAGAATTGATCAAATGTCGTATTCTTCACTTTCTGATAATGGAATGTTGCAAATATTTAGTTTTTTAATTAAATGATTATACGGAACTCTTTAAAACTGTTCCCGCATATTTATGGCTATTTATTTATTTTCGCAAATACTGAAATTTACGTAATATAGTATAAAACTCATTTAAAAATTGCCAAGACGACATTTGATAAATTCTTCTGATGTATTCGTTATTAAGGGTTTCACTGTATTAAGATAGATAGATAAACAAGAAGTGTAAATAAGTAATTAAATATTTCCCAGATGAAAGGTTTTTTGTTGCTAATATAATTTATCATCAGCTAATTATTCTTGGTTAAATATACCCTGACATCGCATTAATTATAAAGATAATGAAAAAAGAATAAATCATTTTTTTCAATTTAAATTCAAATAAAAACAACAAAAGCAATTAAAAATCTGAAAACCAAAAAAGGTTATGGAAAGTGCACTTTACCAAGAATGATGACGATGTTTTGAGGCAAAATTAATCAAGAAAACCCGTGGATAAGTAAATTTTAATTTTCCAAATAAGTACAGGGTTACTCACAAAGGATAAGACATCAGGGACGATTGTACGGAATTTGCTTAATCCGTTATCTTGCATTTAGGTTCCTTGATGGCCAAAACTGACTTATTTCTGTGCTTAATCATTTATTAAACCATCAAAATATCAAAATAATCAATTAAATGCAGAAACTAAAATCGAGCTTAAAATCGACATATTTTTAGAGTTTTGGGTCGTCTTTACAGTCTCATTTTTTCACGAAAACTTTGCAGAGCAGTTGGTTATTTTACTGAACAGTCCCAAGGGAAGTAAAGTAACTTATCATCCCCCTGGTGGGGCAATGTTGGTCAAGAGACGGTAAAATAAATATTTTTGTTCCAAATAATTGAAACTTATGTTGGTTTGTTGAATGGTATTGAACTTGAACCATAAACTTCACGCTCCTTACTTCATTTACACAACTAAACTATTCGTATTTCATGATTCATATGTAAACCAATTACATTTGTCAGGTCAAGCTTCATTTGTAAAGTGACAAGTACGATTCACAACAGCAACCTTCAACCCTTTTCATCTGATCAAGAATAAATATATTATTTTTGATTGTGGGTTCATTGTCAAAGTATCTTGCGGATGTTTTGAAACAGAAAGAAACAATTAAATTGTCAGAATTCAGCATGTTTTTAAATAGAAAAAACGACGGTATCTTCCTTATCATTACTCAGATAGAGGTTGAGTTGGTACCGTTGTGACTTGTGTCTGTCATTCTGTAAATGTAATTGTCTAGGGTCACTTGATGGTATAGTCTTCATCTTCTTTAAGAATATACTGTACATATTTTATGTCGATCAAGGTAAAAAGACAAGAAAAGTTAATTGCTGTTGCGTATTCTCTGCGTACATAGTAAAACCAGTTCTTTCTGGGCGGTGTTTGTAAACAAGAATAGATGTATCAAGTGTTCTTCTAGTATCCCAGGAGGATATAACCATTTAATTTTGATAAATTTGATAATTCATATGATAGTTAATTTCCTATGATCGGAATATTTCATTGATTTTTTATTTCAAAAGGGATCATGTCAGGCTGTGACATCCGTTTTGTGTTTACTTTACCGCCCTGATACTATATACTGCAGTACAAAAATGCGCACACCTCTGAAAAAACTATCTTTACATTACAATTCTTTGGTGGCGATATTGTTTTTTTTTAATCAAACATTGAAACTCTCTTTAAAACGGTTTATTTTTTCTGAGCATTTTAAAAGTGTTACTTTAATTTATGTAAACTTTAACAAATTAAAATGTAGATTGAAAGAAGATATTATTTTAGATAAGTTCTTTGGAATTAAAAGAAGATATTAAATATTAAACAGATTAATGAAAATGCTAATAGAAGATTATATTAAACAGATTAATAAATATGCAAATATGAGATAATATTTAAGAGATTAATGAATATGCTGATAGATGATTATATTTAAGAGATTAATGAATATGCTGATAGATGATTATATTAAAGAGATTAATGAATATGCTGATAGATGATAATATTAAAGAGATTAATGAATATGCTGATAGATGATTGTATTTAAGAGATTAATGAATATGCTGATAGAAGATTATATTTAAGAGATTAATGAATATGCTGATAGATGATAATATCAAAGAGATTAATGAATATGCTGATAGATGATCATATTAAAGAGATTAATGAATATGCTGATAGAAGATAATATCAAAGAGATTAATGAATATGCTGATAGATGATTATATTAAAGAGATTAATGAATATGCTGATAGATGATTATATTTAAGAGATTAATGAATATGCTGATAGAAGATAATATCAAAGAGATTAATGAATATTCTGATAGAAGATTATATTTCATGTATGAATTCAGAATATATGCAGTCCTTTAACCCTCTCACCTTGAGCTAATCATAAGAGATATTACCCACCTTGGTTGTATTGGCACGTGATTGTTTAAATGGGTGTAGACCAGTTTCAATCACATTTATCTAGACGAACATCATCGTTTTCCAGCTGACTATTTTAGACTAAACATTTTTCTGCAAATGGTGCGCGGCATCCCCTGCGTAGTGCGCGTGGTGTAATTTTTGTCGGCGCATGAAAATGCGGGAAGGTTTGTGTACACACTGTACACTATAGTGCATCTTATCTCGCGGTTTTTCTAAACCTTGAAAGCAGAAATTAATGAAGCTCGTTAATTCACTCTCCGTAACTTATACCTCCCTCACACATTGCTGGTTTCCAGAGGTAACCAGAGAAACACAAATGGTTAACAAAGAAGCCAAATTGTCAACAAAAATTCTTAACTTAAAATGTGTGTGTGCAGTTTTAATTGAAAATGTAAACCACAAACGAGTTTGATAATCATTCTTCTCCCGATTTAAAACTGAATCTATATGGAATACAGGAAACCTGTGCTGTGTACACTGTACACTGTACAGTGGTAAAACTATGACTAAATTTATTGTTAACAGGTTTCAAACAATATTTAACAAATGATTTTATTATGTATATAACAATTACATTGATTTATCATTCTTTGCTCCGTAATTCAAGAATTCATACATACTTGCACCCTTTATGTATTAAACATATGCTAGGAAACAAAAAGCAATATCCTTGACATTTATTGCCAAGTGCTGATTAGTGAGGATTTTTAGGAAACATCTATGCTTTTTAATAAGTATTTTAATCCCTTCTGAATGCACTTGCATCATTGCATGCCTTTATGCACATTTTAACACAAAAAAGCCTTGGGATCTCAGAATATAAGCATGGGATCTCAGAATATAAGCTTGGGATCTCAGAATATAAGCTTGGGATCTCAGAATATAAGCTTGGGATCTCAGAATATAAGCTTGGGATCTAAATTTTCTGCGCAAGTCCAGAACATCTACGAGAGGACGATCTACGAGAGGACGATCTACGAGAGGACGAAGCCACATTTTTTCGATTCGTCCACTTAACTTTTTAAAGAACGTGTCCATTGTGTTTATTCCTGATATAAAAGATACCGTCTCCGTAACTTAACTACAAAACTAGTTTAAAACAGTAGGTATATACAGGGTGTCCCACGAAACATGAGAGTTGAAAAATGTTTTGAACGTCGTCTTTTACATACTGTATTATGATGTTTAAGGCTTTTTGTAGTTTATTTCATTAAAAAAAACCCTTTTTCTCAAATACATTTTATTCTTCAATGATTTTACTATAATATAACTCCTATATAACATTTTTATTATTGTTTTTGGTATTGAACAACTTAACAAATTATGGAAGAAGACATTCTAAACTATTCACCAACTGTCATGTTTTTTGGGACACCCTGTAGTAGATACACAAATATATTGGCGCAAATAGATGAAGTAATATAAATATACAATTGTCAGGTGTCCACAGAGAATATACGATATGAAAATATATTAATTGTTAACCAATTCAGAAAAAACTTATATGGGTTATGGTCTTTTAAAGACAGAATTTGCAATTTTGATCATCAGAAAATATCTTTCTTGTAGCTCATTAATAATATAATCTTGCTTATAATACATTAAAAAAAGGTTATAGCATTTTATTTTGAATTTTGAGGACATTCTTTTAAGTTTTAACCCTATAGTGCAACGGGGGATTTAAACTTAAACGCCCCTACCACCCATCCCACTATGGCTCAAAATGTAAAAAAAACATAGGTTTGATTTTAATAGAATGCACGCAGCTCAACTTTTACAAAGGGTTGATAAAATATCTATTTTTGACACTTATATAAGCACACAGCATGCATCCAGCATAACAGAATGCATGCTGAATGATGAACAGAATGCTGATTAGTACTTCACTAGAAATAGATATCTTAATCTAATACGGGATATATCTGGTATTAATTTTGTAAGCATCTAAGCAGCAATTAATTCTGTAAGCATCTAAGCAGCCATAAATTTTTTAAGCATCTAAGCAGTAATTAATTTTGTAAGCATCTAAGCAGCCATTAATTTTTTAAGCATCTAAGCAGCAATTAATTTTGTAAGCATCTAAGCAGCAATTAATTGTTTCCCTGCACTCCATGAAGAGACCAAAATTTGAAATACAAAACGTTCTTTAGTTTTTTTTCTATTGTTACAGAGGACATAGAAAGCATAAAAGTGAAAGAATTGAAAAAAAAGTTTGCTCACATTATTTTTGCAAACAATATGTTTATTTTATTTTCAAATTTTGCTCTACGAACAAAAGTCTTAATTCGCAAAAAGTTTTCAAATTAGATTGTGTAGAGCTGAGTTCTCTATAAAATTGATTATTTACAGCGAAGTTTATAAAATTGAATACATATGGGAAATCTGTAAAATGTATTGGAAAACTGAGTGGACTGTGGAGAACAAAGGACTCAAGGTATTTAAAGGGAAAGTGCACGCGTTTAAAAGAGGGTAACAGATTGCAAAGATGTTTTGCTATTAGACCAGAAACTTTTACTTCTACGACCAGACCAGAAACTGTTTACAACTTCTACCCTACCAGAGACTGTTTGCTATTACTACCCTACCAGAAACTGTTTACTACAACTACCAGACTAGAAACTGTTCACTNCAGACCAGAAACTGTTTACAATAAGCACCAGACCAGAACCTATTTACTACCACTACCAGACCAGAACCTGTTTAGTACTAATACCAGACCAGAAACTGTTTGGTAATACTACCAGACTAGAAACTGTGTACTACTTCTACCAGACCAGAAACTGTTTGCTACTGCTATTAAACCAGTAACTGTTTGCTACTACTACCAGACCATAACCTGTTCGCCACTTTTACTAGACAAGCAACTGTCTGCTACTACAACCAGACCAGAAACTGTTTGCTACTCCTAATAGACCAGAGACTGTTGGTACTTTTACGGTACCAAACAAGCAACTGTCTGCTATCACTACCAGACCAGAAACTGTTCACTACCACTACCAGGCCAGAAACTGTTTACTTCCAATACCAGACCAGAAACTGTTTGCTTCCACTACCATACCAGAATCTGTTCGGTACCTATACCAGACCAGAAACTAGGCAAACATATGACCGACCATGTGTGTCTACAAGTTGGTAGAGGGGGAGGGAATGACCATGCTTGCGCACAAGAGGGGAGGGAGTACTACCGAAAGTCTAATCTAGGCCTAATGTCACTAAATTAATGGGTTATACTTGAATTACTAGATATTTATGGTAATAAATTAGCGTCACTTTAATAAAAGACATTGTATTCTAACAAATGTTGTTACCAACTCAATAATCAGTATATGCTTGGGCTGAGTTTGATGCTCAAATATGAAAAATATTGAATAAAGTAAAAATGTCTGAAAAAGTGTTGAGGGAATTTCCCTTGATTTTGAAGAATTCGTACATTTTTTTTGTTAATGATTATTTCTGCAAACGTCACGAGCTTTTTGTAAAAAAAAATAAGTTTTAATTTAATATAAAATATCATCTGATAAAAGTAAGATAATCATTATATCTTTTAAGATGAATAACAATCATAACAAAGTTTATTACCGCCAGTTCTACTAAAATATCTTTAATCGTGTTTTTATTAAATATAATCTGACAGCGTATCTTTATCAATCATTGTCAGAAAGTGCTGAATCATTGTAAACACACATCAACCTATGTGAAGTAAACAAAAATAAAAAAAAATTAAACCTTGTTAAAAATATGTACAGGGTAAGTAAAAAAAGTATGATTTCTTCAAATATCCTCCATTCTGTTGGTGAACTTTCACCGCTCTAATTGTTACATCTATTTATTAATAACCTTGCTTATACAGCTTATACTGCTTATAAAGTTATATCACTAGAACTAACTTGCAAAATTTCCTGTCACGATTTTGCAAATTTTCTCCATTTCCTTTTATTTTCGGAAATTTTAGGATTTGATAGAAATTATAAATTGACACATTTGTCTATCCTACACTTTAGATTTTCAGCAGAAAAATGGTTCCATCTAAAAGTGCTGAATCTATGTTGAGCGAGTCAACTTTTATAGGGAAAAATAATCGTAATTAAAGACCAAGTTCGGGTAAACGGCGGGAGTAACTATGAGTAACCTGGGCAGCGCCGGGAAATTCAGTTAGTTCTTAATACAGTCATACCACCCCCCCTGTATTCTTAACATTACCCCAACCCCCCTATATTTAAAATATAACCCCCCTGGATATTGCTGGAATTGTATTCGATTAGAATTCAGCGTGGACTCCTGCTCCTCAGGCAGATGGTTGTCATAAAGTTGACAATAGAGGAGATCTAATCCAATCTACAATATAACATTGTAATAGAGGAGATCTAATCCAATCTACAATATAACATTGCAATAGAGGAGATCTAATCCAATCTACAATTTAACATTGTAATAGAGGAGACCTAATCCAATCTAAAATATAACATTGTAATAAAGGAGATCTAATCCAATCTACAATATAACATTGTAATAGAGGAGATCTAATCCAACCTACAATATAACATTGTAATAGAGGAGATCTAATCCAATCTACAATATAACATTGTAATAGAGGAGATCTAATCCAATCTATAATATAACATTGTAATAGAGGAGATCTAATCCAATCTACAATATAAAATTGTTATGTAAATTAAGAGGCATAAAAAATGTACGGATATTTAACTATTTACAGTGAAACTCTCTGCTTTGCATTTAAATTCCAGAGTAAGTACTTAGTGCAGTGATAACCAGAAATCAATGGAATAGGAAGACGACATTACAGCAATACTTTACTGTATTTGATGTTGTTACAAAGCAAATAATTTTACAAAACACTTGTAAATCAATGATTTAGTGAAATGGGACTGTTTACTTTGCACAATTACTGTTTCTCATGCTTATTGGACTTATTAAAGCTATAATTTGATTCTAAAAGTTGTCTTCCCATTTTCAGAGTTTTCTGGTTATCCGTGTATTTTCCTTGGATTTCTTTATAAGGATGCTTCTTCCTAAACCTACTGTAGAGAAACAATTGTGTAATTGTGTGGAAAGGGGTGCAGAGT